TTCTATGTTACCTAGTATATGTGGCATATCTTGTTATGAAATCAGTCATAGTTATTACCTCTATGCTAACAAAATGATCATTTCTGATTAATGCAAGCAGCTTTTGAATGCAGCATACTCTATTTAAGAATATTCAAAGTCTGTATCATTGATTTTCCAGCATTCTACAATTTTAATTTCATCTTTTTCACTTCTAGCGTGTAAGTTTGGTGTGAAGTCACTCATGCTAAGCTTCTGCAGCAAGTCTGTGTGTAGATTATAGTGAAGATACTGTTACTGATCCTTATTTTTGCAGTATTTTACATTTGTTCTTGTAGTGGACCACAGCACTTCATAAATTGTGTATCTTTCGAGTACTTACTGCCTTTTGAGCATAAAATATGCTGTAGAACCATTTTCTCAGGGACTGCCCAAAAGTTTCTTCCTTGAGAGTAACTGCTACTTGGCTCTTCTGATAAACAGAATCTAGAATTTTTTTTTTCACCACGGAAAATGACATCGGAATTTTCAGTTATATTGAATGGTATTTCAGTCTTGTTCACATTTTGGGTAATACCTAGAATTTGAATTTGCCACCACTTGTTTCTTATGGCATCCTAAACTGGAATCTGATTACACATGGGCTGCTCTCAAAGGGTATTGAGTTAATTTATATGCTCAGGGAACATTAGATTGGCATTTGTCTCCTCGGAAGTTGTGAATTATGTATGTCCTCTGTGCTCATTTGGAGGAGAGCATACTGAGACTTCCATCTCGCATGCTTAGCTATGCTTGTGCAGAACTCATGCTTCAAAACTTCAGTAAAATACTGCACATGCTGTAAACTACACAGAAATGTCCCAGCAACAGGTAGCAAGAGCAGCACCAGATATTTAGTTTGCTTAATGCGAAATGCTTCGTAGTGCAGCAGGTATGTTCTGTCAAAAATACTGCTGAGTATTCCAATAGGATACCAATGCTTATAGTGTCTAAATAATAATAACAGTAACAACAATACCAAATCCTTATACAGTGGTTCATTAGTACATTGCATGGTGATTTTCAAAAGAGATCTGAGTATCCTCATTCTACAAACAAAGAAGCTGAGGAACAAAAAGGAAAAGTGATTTGCCCACATTTGTCTAGAAGTTCACTGGCAGATATAAAACCTGTGTTAGTATGATTTTGTGCCCACTGCATGATATTGCACTCTATCACTTGTCCCCCTGCAATGTTCTGAAAGTTGCTGGCGTAAGCTTTCCTGACCCTATAATACAAGTGTAAGCCATAGTCAGGTATTATAAAGTTAATTCAAGAGTCTATTTCTTTGCCTTCTGCTGCAAACTACAGGTCTTCTCCCTGAAAAAATGGTCTCAGTCACTGAAAATGTAGATTCCACTGCCAAGGATAAAAATTTATTTGTCGTTGCTAGTTGCAGGGGAATTTTTTCTTCTATGTGTACATTTTTCCTTGTTCCAACTGCATCTGAAATCCAGGATGCTTTGCTTTATTTTCTTTTATTCCTCCTTACAGACTAATCACCTGGGATATTACTTGAAGCAGCCTACTTGTCTTACTGCGACTCTTTTGATTTCCTGAAAAGAAACACGATGAGCATGAGGCAAACAGCACACTAACATAGTGAATGAAAGAGAAAAAGAAGCACAAGGAATCAAAAGAGAGAAAAGGACAGAGAAGATAAACATACAACAAGAACCACAAAGGAAGAAAGATGAACCAAAGGGAATTGATTTGCCTTTGTGGGGAGTTTGCTAGAGGGGAAGTTTACTAGAATTTGTGCTCTGGATTCCAAACTGGCCTTTTCTCAGTCTCTCCCATGCTATTCTCCTTCAGTCACTCCTACAAGCTGTCTCACCTACTCACTTCACAGCAGAAATCATCTTTAGTCTTTGCGGAAGACCTGAGAGGTGTGAAAAGCCTGTGCATAGCTGGTATCAGTTGACATGATATTGTCATACTTCTCAGCTGCCTGCGGGTATGTGAAGATCATTTCTATTCTCAACTGAAAGCTGATCAGCAGGTTGAGAAGACAACAGAGTTTGCAGGTCTAAGTAAGCCCAGGAAGAACACATGCTGCCTTTGCCTCAATATGGCAAATCAGGAATTGATAGTAGAATGCAGCCTGGAAGAAGTATGATCAGAAAATGAAGGCAAAGAGGGGAGACACAATTGCACAGGAGGACAAATACATCTTTGGAGTAAGGGAAGGTACCGTTTAAAAAGAGGAAGAGGCACAGAGTAGAGTTGAAAGAACGTGGAAAGTGAGAGAAAGAATAATCTAGAGCTAGAGAAAATGAACAGGAAAGCTGATCACATGGAAAGCTGAAAAGCTGTGGGCGACTGGGAAAAAGGAACAGTTAGACACAGAGAAAGAAGCAAAGATGATAACAGAAAGAAAACAATGGGAAATACAATCAGCTATTTTTTCTTCCCTATAAAAATATGCTGCAAATATATTACTACAAAATTAATATCTAAAAGTAATTGTTTATATAGAATAGAAAATGGGGAAAAAACTGTAGGGGGGAAGTGACTGAAATAAGTAGGCAAGTCCCTGTGTCCCCTTCCCTCAAGGCAACAAATCCAAATGCTGGATTTGTCAAGACAGGCTTTTTTTTCTGAATCATATTATGATTGTATGTGTGCAATAGGAAAATATATGCAGCATCTCTGTTCTGATTACTTCACTACTTCCCTATTATTACAGTTTTCACAATAAAATCATAAGAAATACAATATTGTAGCACTAAGCCCCAGTAAAATACAATTTAAGTGTTTGGCACTATATGTATGTCACAGACTATTTTAAAATGCGGGAAATGAATTTGAAATGACAGTATAATTAATCTAGTACTTTGCATTAATTTGTTATTGCTGGCTAAATAATATGTCATTAGTTGTCTCCATTTAATGTGGAGTGGTGAAATAAGTTCTTGAGCATGTACTAATTTATATCTTGTCATAGCCTATTGCTCTTGATCAGTACTCCCATTTCTAAATGAATGGCTGCTGAGAAGAAGAGAGTGAAAAAGAACATAACAATGAGACATTAAAAATGATTCATATACCAAAGTGTATGTAGAGAGAGATGCAACAACATGTTCAGATAAATAGATGTACATTAGTGGACAGAAAGATGTGTGCACACAAAGAAATGGAGAAAAGCAGTTAAATGAGAGCACATCATAAACCAGAATATTTTTGCTTCCAGGTCATGTAGATCACTTTAAGATCACCGATTGGCAATTAGGACATGAACTGCATGCAGCCCACCAGCCAGTTACAAAGAGGAGCACAGAGTAGCATCATGTTCACAAAAAAATGAGGTCGCTTGAACAAAAGCTCATTCAAACTATTTTGACTTAGTAAAATGGAGAAGTATGCGGAAGACCACCAAGGGGAACCGTGAATGTTAATAAAGACTGTCTTTAGGTGCCTGCTTGTTCCAGCTAGATATTCTGTAGAGAGTTGTGCAGAAATGCAGGATATCAGAAAGGACACTAATGCTAATCCCAGCATGACACTGTGGAGAGTGCTCCAAAATGTGCCCACATTCTACTTGAAACATGAGTCCAGACCTCATGCTTGAGGACACTGCAGACACACTATCTGGAGGTAAATTCATGCTCAGACGTGGTGTTTTGAGAAGCCTTGCAGCATGCTGGAAGAGAAGGTATGAGCCAACACTCTTTGAACCGTCTTAGGCCTGCAGCTTTCTCACCCTTTCCACCATCCTGTATTTTATCTGATTTTGCAGTGAAGTTGCAATGGCTGCCATCAGCCAAACAAGTCAAATATTAAGGCCTTTCTAGGAGAAACCTGACACTGAACCCTGGAAGGTGAGATGTGATCGCAGCGGGGAATGAGCACAGGGTACCTTCTAATAATATGTCCATACAAGTACTGATCTATTGGCAGTGTGGACATAGGAATATTTGTTCTAAAGAACTCCCAGCTCATGAAGTTTCAGCGTCTCTCATCTACTACTGAATTAACGAATAACAATGGGGAAGTGAATAAATATCAGAAAAACTGTCATACCTGAAGTCTGTAATTTTTTTCCACTTTTTTGCTTCAATATATTTGTCCTAAAAAAAAAGTTCAGGAAAAAAACATTATGCCATTGCCAACAAACTCAGAAAAAAGTCTTACCCTGGTGAGATTATTATGTACCAGGATCAGTATTAAATAGATGCTATTTTAATCTCTTTCTGTCTGCAGTAGAAACATGCATTGCTAAATGATGTAGTAAGCCTTGTTTTGAAGCACAGGCACACTAACACATAGAGATGTTTGAATGTTAGACTGCACTTCTATATGACACACCTGAACACATCACTTAATGCCTAGATGTAGCTTGAGAAGTGATTATGTTTAAGTCTTGTTCTTTGTTGTTGTGCAGATGCTCATGTAAGTAATAGTTTTAATTTCCTTCTGCTAACTTGCTTGCCTAGTTTGTGCAACACCACCAGCAAAAAAAATCTGCTCCTTTTCTACACGAGCCAGGATGGATATGGCAGTGAAGGAGATATAGAAAAGACAGATTTCTGGTGCCAGGACATGTTGCTGATTTGGGGCAGAAAAGAAACACTGAGTCTGCCCCATGCTATATGATTCCCTGATAGACTGGGCATCTAAATCACAGCTGGCTGTATGCAGATCCTTCAGCATTCATGGAGACCACTAGCACTTAAGTCACTGAACATCCATGCACTTTTGCTTGATTGCCCATCTTTGTGAACCCAAGGGGTGGGAGGGTGGGCAGGGGGAATGGTCTTTCAAAAGCCCCATAACATCTCAGAAACCAAAGTCTAGATACTTGGAAACCCCACCCTGTATTCTTCAGCTTCCTAATTCACTAAAGCACTAGGAAAATCACAGTAACCCTGAAAAGGTGTTACAATAATATATTTTCTGAAGATTAAAATATGACACATTTTACTTTTCAAAGTCAGCAGCAGAAACTAAGTATATTAGATTCATTTTCCAAGCATACCTACCTAATATTCCTCTTTTCTGTGCCTTTGCTCTTCTTTGTATCCAGAGGATCTATATTCTTTGACTGCACAGTGGTTTCTTGCCTGATTGGTTTCAGAGAGCTGTGGAAGACTTCCCCTTTCCTTCCACTCTCTGTGGGACCCACTGTGCCTGAGAGGGGAACCTGGTTGGAGGAGGTTTGTTTAGTAACTTCTTCCTCTGCTTTGGGGTTAGGCACATCTAGTGGGTCGTCCCTCTTGAAGGAAAAAGGAAAGATTAACAGATACAGTAGCAAGTGACATAAAAAAAAGAGCTATGCACAGAGCTGATTGTCACAGCTGGAACTTTGTGATAAGATAAATTCCTATATAGTAGTCCCCTATATACTGAATATTCTGCTACTCAGAATATAAAGAATGTTCAGAACATAGTGGTGCCAGACAGACCATCCATAGGAAATGTGAAATATTTAAGTAGAAAAGAGACTACTGTTTCTCCTACATTGTCAGTTTGTTGGTGATTATTGGCTTACAGCTTTGGCTAGAAGTGACTACGCAGTCCACCAAGGGATAACAGATCCCAAAACTTAACCTCTGAGAGCTGTTTGTGGCTTTCCCTCCACGTTCTCTGCTTCTGATTGATGTCCAGGACCCCTTTATCTCCAGGTTATTCTCATCTTTTTGCTCATATTTGGAAGCTGAGATAAGATCTTTGCTCTCCCTCCTGTCCAGATTTTGAGATTGGTCCCTACTAAAATGTTTCTAAGCCTCCTGCTTTGAAGTAGCTGAGGCAAGGATACCTCTAGGGCTCTCATGTGCAGACCGCTTTCTGTCTAAACTGGAAGAGAGCAGGGAGGATGTAATAATGCAAAGGAAAATCCAAACTTAGAAACTGTCAGTAGAAAGGAAAAGTCAATAGTGAGTGACAGCCAATACCTCAAGGTATTGAAACACTGATGAACGCGTGACTGGAAAAATAAGATGTCTATTCTGCAAAGAGAAAAATAGAGATTCTAGGTCTGGATCATGATTTTAGTATATTGAATCACTAGTAACATCTGCTGTACACGCAGGAGCTGATATTCCTGTCAGGCCAGCTTATGGCCAGAAGTTGGTGCAAGGATCCAGTCTTTGACATCAGATAAGAGAGAAAGCAGAAAACCTGGAAGAAAGGTGGCTATGTAGGGGTAGTTGAAGCAGGAAAATATCAATTAAGAAATTTTATAAATCCTATACTTACTTTCTCACAATCTATACATTCTTGACTTAAACAGTATGGTTGTGGGATGTGGCTGTGCAGATTTTTCAGCCAAATCTGAGTCCTATACGTTCTGCAAATCTAATCTGAATATGCTAGTTTTGCCCCTAGATTACCTCGTCACTGATTTTTCTTGAAAGAGTGATCTCTCACAGTTCTCTCCTCTCTCTAAAATTATATTTTTCTAGTTCCCTTGTAATTTTTATTCTGTATGTACAGAGTTGTTCCTTCTCTCTGCTGCCTATGGCCAGGGAGAAGACAGGAGCTCCTGAGTGCAGAGAAAAGATGTACATGCAGCACTGAGCACCGGCTATGTGATTGTATTTTTAATTCTCCCTGTGGATGTGCCTCTGCTTGACTGAAAGCTGAGTCGGTTTGCGTGGGAACTAAAGACCCATCAATGCCTGTGCTGATGAAATGTTGTTTACTTGAGACTGGAGAGAAATAGCTTTAGATAATATTGAGCAGCATCATTAACCATCCAAGTTCCTTCCTAAGTGTGACTTTAAAGTAACAGGTTCCTTCTGTGCTTTAGTGAAATTTCTGTATGTGATACTCTCTTAAGGCGTTCCCGAAGCATTTTTGCTGACACTCACTGTTCTCCTTGTTTCCTCTCTTCGCTACAGCTAGCCGCTGCCTTCTGCCTGTCTGGCTGCCCACTGTATCATTTCCCTCAAGAACTTTCTGTCCTTTGAATGGATCAAATACCTTTGCCTTCTTTGCTTATTAGTTGTCAGTCCCTGCATGAGTCTCAGCTGTGGCATGTCTTTCCTTCTCCGCTTTTTTTTTCAGAGAGTTGTGGAATTCAGTTAAAGAGAACCATTTAAGAACATACCCCAAATATGAGGGAAAACTAAACACCTAACAATGAATAGTATGCTATTGGTTCACAAAAATTTGTCAGGGCTATGGCACACCTAGCATCCTCACTCTCATTGCCCTGAAATTCTGTAGGGAGTTTACAAGAAGCCAGCTGTTTTGATAAACAGGACTGTAGCTCCTTCAAAGCACACAAAAACTTAGACTTGAGAGATGGTAAAGAATATTGGCACAAGTGATAATTTCCAATTGGTCAGCTTGAACTTTTGATACCTATTTGCTAAATACTTACATTTTCTGATTGCTTGTTTGAGCCGGGAGCTTTCTTGTGACATGTGCCAAAATCCTTGCATTTTACATCGACTTCAGTGTTGCTTGTATTTTCTGGGGGTTTCAGGAGGGAGACGAGCTGCAGCCACAGGTGGAATAGGTGTTGTTGCCGATCCGGCAGGGCACAGAGTTCTAGATAATAGCAATGACCATTTACTAATTTTAACATGAGGTGATGCTTATCTGTGCTGTGGACAGAGAGTTCCACAAACTCCAAGGGGAAGAGCCTGCAAAAAAAGGGGAAACTCATCATTAAGCAAAAGTGGAGATTCCTCTCAAAGAAGATATTGTGTCTGTCAGACCTACAGATAGAATAAGACTAAAAGTGAGAAACTGGAATAAGAAGAAGCTGTCGAATGGATCTAGACACTCTTCTTCTGAGTGCCTCTAGCTGATTGTGGAAGAAATACCGGGCAGCAGTGCACAGAATAGAGGCAAAGCAAAAGGCTTCTCTACAATGCCTTTATTCCACTGCCTTATTCCCTGACAATCTTGTACCTTCAATCTTCCTACCAGCTTTGAGCTTCTGATGTGTTTAGAAAAAGGTTTATTAAGTATTCCTAGTCATCATCTATCTATATGCATGTGGGTGGCATTGGCCTGAAATCATGACTGGAGTGTGGCCTAAAGGTGCGTACTTAAACTTAAGTGTTTCTCCTGACTTTATGGTGTTAGTGCTGGGACAAAAAGCCAGTGCAACTATGAGGTCTGTTAATAAACTGATCATTAAGAGAAGGAAACACTGTATGGAAATGGGAAATAGATTAATATTTCTTATTTACTCTTCAAAGAAATATTTAACCTTTCTCGGTGCTAACTCACCTGGTAAGTGCTAGCTGTTCCATGTGGGGTGGCTCCTCTGAGAGTTTCCAGGAGCTTGTCATGCTTTTCTGTGGGCATACAGGCACCTCACATGCTACCAGCATTACATTGGGCATTGGTGAACTGGGATTGGCAGCACAGATGCCGATGGTCACACAGCTGGGTCGGTTATGGACAGAAATTGGTTCCCCTCTTTGATTAACCTGAACAACAACAACAAAAAAGTCCCATTAACACTGACAATTGCCATACAATAGCTCAGAGAATGTGCTACCAATATATTTCATGGCATTTTGGCTTTGGGACCCTAGAGCTTATGTACTGGGTTGGTGAGGAGAGAGGAGAACGTAGAATAATTAGTCAGGCATGTGTATGAATGAAAAGAAAGGAAAGAACTTGAATAAGGATAAAGGAGGACTGGAAATCACTGGCTCTTTTGTAGTCCAAATCATTGAGTATCTGATTGCTGTGGTCAGAAACCTCTTAAGCACCACTATCTTGAATTTCTCTTAGTGTAAACATGATGGAAGAGGCACTGTTCTGATGATTCACTGTCTTTGTCAGCATTACTGTGATACTAATGAGACCTGGTTATGAACCAGGATCCTGCTAGGTGCTGTACAAACACAAAATGGAAAAAGATCACAGGTAATATTGTGTAAGATGTGAAATTACAGAAAGAGAAAAGTGAGAAAATACCAGGAGATAAGAATAAGTTGACAACTATGATCAAATCACGTATTATGTACCATTGTTAGGATTTGGTTTTGGTAAGCATCAGAGAAAGTGTGTCCTAAAAAGGGATTTGAGGGAGGACAGTGCATTAAATTTGTGGATATCTAGTAGAATCTCCTCCCAAGTGTGAGAGACAGTATGTAAAAAAGATCAAAGTATATCTATTTTTTTTTTTTAAATAAATGTAAATGAGTCAGTGGTGGAGCTGTTTTCTTGGGTTGATTGGTTAGGGCAAATACCTCCTTGATAGTAAAAGAGGTCTGATAAATAAAGCAGGGATAAATCATAAAGTACCTTGGAAACAGAGACTCATGGCTAATTAACATTCTGCATGTATATCAACAATACAAGATTGAATTAATCAAGGCAAGACCAAAAGATGTTGCAATTATCACAAAGTTAGGTAATGAAAGCCTATGAAAAACACTGTTGAGATACATCATGTAAATAGATTTCAGATATTTTAGACACACTGTGAATGCAGTATGGTAGGAGTGTAGACTGTTGCCAGTCTTGCAGGGTTCTTTGGCCAGCGCTTAGGGTAAGTGACAGGCAGGGTGGTGATATTGCCTGCAAGGATACTAGAAGTTGCAAGTGGTGAGAGATTGCCTGAGAAAGCCTGGCTGCCATTTAGGCTAGGTTGAACTGAGGTTGATGGCTAAAAACTTCAATGAGATAGCACAGAACGAGAAATTTGCTAGAACAATTCTAGCTGTTGCTACAAGAAGGAGTAGGGGCTGACCAGAAAGGGTAAAAAACATCACTCTCTGTCCTCCTCTAATTTGCAGCATTGCTGTTGCTGGGTTTCTGGACTAATGCCTTTAAAGCATGAGCAGACTGAGTTTATAGGAGAAGGGAAGCATATCCATATGCATGCAGTAAACAGAAAATAAAAATAGTGAGAATAAATGAATGAGGAATACCTGTTATCTGAGGGAGGGGGAAAAAAAAGGGTAGTCATTGCAAGCAATTAAATCTTGAGCATGCCAAATGATTTCATTTGAATGACTTTTTACCTGGGCAAACTTGCTCTCGAAGATGGGAGCAGAGGTAAAAGGAGCATATTCTCCTTGGCTAAGAAGTCTCTGAAGGTCACCCCTAATGGACTCCTGACTTGAACTGATGCTCTTAAAATCAAACTTGCTATTCATTTTGCCTATCCACTGAACAAAAATAAATTTACAAGTTAAAGGGAATAGACATAAAAAGACTTATATGTTAAAAAAAACCCCTGATGATTATGAAAAGAAATATAATCCTTCCCGATAGGCTTTATTATGCTACTAAAGAGCAGAAAGTCTTCTCCCAAAACACACATTTTTAAAAACATGCAATCTCAAGTGCAAAGGGGAACTTAGTAAGGCATTCTCACAGTTTGACTCTTCTTTTACTATTTATTTAAAGAAAAAGGGCCTGTGAGTCTATAAACACTAGTTAACACATGCTATTCAATATTTCAGTATGTTCTTGTTTATAAGTATTCTTGTATATTTTTGCTACTGTTAAGATAATTTTTTTTTAATTGATGTATTTTTTACATGAGTATAGTGACATACTTTGCAAATAACAGTAGAAACCCTTGGGCTGTTCTCAGTGCTAGATCGTGACTTCTATCTTTGCACCTCTTGGATCACATACGGTTTTGTCAGGAGTCAAGAGGGCAGGACTTAAGAGATGCTCTGAAGTAGAAATTCTCCAGCAGCTGACCAGGCTGACTTGAACACAAAAGCTGGAGAATAAATAACATACTATTAACAGACTCATTGAGGAGAAAAAAAAAAATTTGATCAAGGGTACTCATTAATTACATAGGTCTTTATTAAACAGCTAAATTCTAGTAACCTAAGTAGATCCAAGAGACAAATGATTTGTTCATGACTGCTCAGTAAGTGGCAGAATGCCAAGAAGAATAAAAATACCCTGCCACTGGGTTTAAAAAAAAAAAACAACAAAACCAAACCATGTAGTAGACTTCTACATCCCATTCATACCTTGCTTCACTTAGATCAACCCATTTCTTACACAGAGGCACACATCTAAGAAAAGAGAAGAAACAAGTGTGCTAGTCCCTCCTGCAGAGCCTGCTTGAAATCTCCTAGCACTATAAACCCATGATCAGCAGCATCCTCAGGTCTTGATGATGTGGTTTCCCTGCTTGAGTTTCTTTAAGAAGTGATGATACGAAGAGAACAGGTACCTGAATGCGTGTATGCGGGGCAGCAAGTTTTGTCTGAACAGTCAGGGTGGTTTGGAAGAACTCAGCCCCATCACTGCTGGCATCACAATGCATCACCTGGTTTGTGCTGTCACCATTCCTGGCAGAAATTCCATTTCTTGGTTCCATCATTGCCATGGTAACAGGTAGCATAGATTCACCTGTAACACCAGCACATTGAGGGCATGATAACATCAGAGATTTTTGCATAGGTATTGTCCATGCAGTGCAGGCTGCCAGGGAACAGCAAGAGTTGGTCTGCTCCATGAGGGATGATGAGCTGGAAGCCAAGGATGACCTCAGCAGAAGCATTGCATTCAACAGTAAAGGCATAGTCCTCCAGTCCTACAGAATTCAAAGTGAATGGGCTGAGCAGGATGGTGGTAACAGGGTCCACTGACAGGCACAGACAAGACAAGGTGCAGAGCCAGATCTGGAGTCCATCTTACGACTCTGTTCCAGGAGTCCAGTCAGGAGTAGCAGGAGGCAGGATTGGCAACAGAACTGTAACAGATGTCCAAGGAAGTCCATCCAGGGGTCAGGGCTGGCAATACATAGACCTATAGCCTCTCTCAAACAAGGACTAGGGGCCCAAGCCAGGGCTTAAGTGTAGCTCCCAGAGCCATGGGCAAAAGGTGTGGTGTGGAGATCCCAGGTGAGGCTGGCCTGAGTGCTAATGAGCCAATTTAAAATGGAGCTTGTACGCATGTGTCTTGCTCTGCTTTGTAAATTTTAGCTTCTCTCTATATGTTCTTTTGCCAGGGTAACCTTTTACATCAGCCAGGTGATGTCATAATCAACCAATGATGTTAACTCCTTTTTTTCACCTTATATGATAGGACTGCTGCTTCCAACTCAGCCTGGTGCTTGGACAGGGTTCAGGCCGTGACTGAATATCAGGCCAGTTGAAGTAGAATTGGTGTCACAAAATGAGAATTATGTTGTCTGACAGTTTGAGGAACTGTTGTGCAATCTCCTTTGCAGGTACATAGCCTCCTGTGGGTAGGTACACATTCTCCTTTGCTTAGGTAGGGCCCACCATAGGACAGCTTCTGGACTGTCTGATAATACTATGCGCTGACATAGCAATGTCCAGCAGAAATGCTTTCTGCTCTCTCCACTATACAAGACAACTCTGATCCAGTGTGGAAAACGATGGTGCTTTTCTTTCCCAGCTGGATTTCAGCTGTATAATATACATGGCTGGAGAAGGATAAATAGCACTGCTCTAGCAAAACCACTACCAACAAGCCCTTTGTCAACTCTGAATTGCCTTCTCCTCTCGAGCCAACGGAAATGTGATTGCGAACACCACGACGAGTGAGTGACTGAGCTGGAGGAGTCTGACTCCACAGTCAAGTGGTCACAGCTCTTGCCTGAACCATGGATGGTGCAAGTCCTGTCTACCTACCCCACATACATGTATACACTCAGCCCTTGTTTGGACTGTGCAGCAAACGTGGTATGCAGATACTAGAGGAAGGAAAGTCTGAGCTAAGATGGTCTTAGGAAGCAATAGAGCCACAAAGACTCTTGTAATGCAGGATAATAACATTTTCACACCTAAGACAGCATTACTATATGATGCTCTGTTGTGTCATGTGCATGTTCTGGCATGGACAGTGCTAGCTAGCTCAGGTGCCTGTCCATCATTCATCACTTGAATATGTTGACATGTATTTAATCCCCCAGTCTCAGGGTAATGCATCAGATATTGTAAGTCATGTTGTTACTGTTTTTTTGAGACACATTTTGTGTGCCTTTTGAAGGGGGTGAGGGGTGGGGTGAATCTGGTAGCCTGATAGAAGTGAAGCTGCTGCAGCTCAGTGCTCCCAAAACCAACCAACAATAACTCTGAGCATGTATTCCCAGTAGGTACAACACACAAACTCACATACACAACATGTATATGCAGCACTCACACAAACACAGACAGCACCGATGACCTCATCCTATTCCCTTCTCTGGCTGATGAGGATGAAGGTCCATTAGTGGGAAATACAGACATGTATATAATGTGTATCCCTTCAGCAGCTGGGCTCAGACACTCAGTCTGTGCAGTATCTGGCCCTTGGATCCCAGTCTCCCCAGTTGCTGGCACCTGGACATGTGAGCCCCTGAGGCTGCAGCCCCAACTCCAGTTGCTGATATAGACCCCTCACTCAGACACACATGTTCCCCCCCCGCCCCCGGATCTCATATGATGCACAGACCCCATAATCTCTCCAGCAGCTGCCTGGGACTCCCCTAGCTCTTCCCACAGTCTTGGCTTCTTCCTTACCCAGGAAAAGAGTGAGAAATTATGCTCAATGAAACAAGACTAACCATGGTGATCGGGCAGGGCACAGGGCATGGCCAGACAAGCGTACCCCTTTACACTTGACCAGCCATTTTTATCCCTTTATCCCTCTATTTTCATACATCTGTTCCTCCCCAAATCTCCTACACCCATTCCTTTCACCACTTTTAGTTCCTCTCCTAAATGCCTCATAAATCTTGTTCAATCCTAAAATGCTTTTCCCCTTCATCCCATCATCTGTCCCACACTCCCAGGCAGTAACCTCCCATAGTCTGGAAGGTGGCTGTGAGAGCCTCCCTCTCCATTGCCTCATGTTGATGGGTTTCACAGCTGGGCAGGGGCTGAGGGGCTCCTGCAACAGCCCTGGGAGGGGCCCAGCCAGGGCCTCCCTAGGAGTCCTTAACTTGGGTCCCCACCTGCCGTTGTGCCCCTGTGCTCCTCTGGGTTTGTGGTGATGGGCCCTTGATGGGCTGATAGCTCCTGTGATGGGTCTGGGAGCACCTGGGGCAGGGTGTTATTTGGGTTCCCCCACCTGCCATCCTCTCTGTGTTCCTTTGTGTGTGTACTTTTTATCCCACCCCTTAACAAGAGACTGTTATTTTTGTTATTTTTTAGTTTTAATCTAACCCTAGCTACCACCTCTTAGAAAAACTCCAGTTAATGGAGAAGGCAGCAGCATGACTCCTTAGCAACACAGGCTGCCAAGAGCATATTAAATCCCGTCTTCTGCTCTTTCTCTGGCTTTTCATAGCACATTGGGCAAATTGATTGGCTTTGGCCAGTAGGGAGTAAATTACAGAAAGCCAGTCACGGATGTACAGTGCCAACTAACTATCTTTTATTTAAATGGGTTCAAGTACCATTGCATCTGCATCTGTACCTCTCTCCTCCTGAAAGACTGGCAGATAAGTAGCTCTCAGGCCATTTTTATTTAGATTATTCAATACCTTTAGTGATGAATAGCTGCCTATCGCTGATACAAAAGCCCCAACAGGCTGTGCTTGCAGAAAGGCATAGCACACCGCAAACAGCCGGCTGCAATCAGCATTGGCTCCACTTCACTTGCCTACACGTTCCTGTGAACTAATTCCCTTGAGCGCAGCACATGCACCTACCACAAGGCTCTGCAGAGCCACATCCCAAGAGATTGACCACCAGCGTTCACCATGAACGTGCCTGTTCCAGCAACCTCATCCAAATACAAGAAAGCTATAGGAAAATGTTAAGCCCAATTTTTTTCACTGCAGCTTCTCCATGTATACATGAAGGTGGTCTTACCTTAGGTGGCAGTTCTCCAAAGTAATGCAACAGCATCCTAAAACAAGAGCGTAGCTGAAGAGGTTCTTGGCACCAGTGGGTAATCCAGCTGGCAATAAACCACAAAAAAAGATCATGCATAAGGTAAAGTAGCAATATTATAGCATAGCTGTCAAGCCACTAAAGCAGATCTTTTCACTCAGTATAGAACAGATCCTCAGCTGAGGTGATCAATGCAGTCTCCATAATCAGATTAAATTAAAGGCAGCTAAATTAAAGGAAGGTACCCATTTACGGGGACCAAGAACTGCAGATGGATTGCTCAAAATTGAGTGGAAGTGAGTTAAAACAGCTGAGGAAATTCAACACAGATAAAAGTAAAATGATGTGTATGAGGAAAACATTTTCCTAAACTGTCATTATAATTACTGTTCCTAGGTTGCCTACTACCCATTAAGAATGAGACTCTAAGGTTATCTGTATTTTAAGATCCATAAAACCACATTGGTCAGAAGCACTGAAGAACAAAAATTAACTATTAGGAAGTAGAGAACAAACAAAGTCATCATTATGTGGTTACATGAGATAGTGTTGCCTTTTAATATGTGTGCAGTTCTGGTCTCCTTGTCTCAGACAGAATATAGTAAAACTAAAAAGGATGCAAAGAGGAGCAACAGGGATCATCCAGTTTATGGACTCTTGGAGACAGAACATGACCACAAAGGGCAGACTACATAGATTAGGACGCTTAATCCAGATGATAGCTATCTATAAAACTGTGGGTGGCAAAGGTGACTTCTCTTTGTCTGCTCCAATGCAAAAGCTAAGGGGCATCAAACAGAACTAGGAGGTGGCAGATTCAGAATAAAACAGAGGAGGTGCTGCTTCACACTGCGAAAATGTGGGACTTCTTGCCACAAACACTCTGGGTGCTGGGGGAGTATTTGGAAGATGGAGCAATATCTACTTGCCATGCATTTATACTCCTCCTGACATGTGAACTATTGGCCACCTCTTTGCAAGAGGTAGTTTTTAAAAAAAGAATTTATCCAAAAGCGCACAGGCTACACAGCGCAGGCGTTTCTGGCATTATGTTGTCTCCTTCTCAGCAGTTTCTCGAGTAGTCCCACAGGAGCTGCCTTCTCCTGCTGGTACCAGCCATGGCCAGTGTAGGAAGTTGTGTCTGCAGACGTCCGGTTGGCTTCTCCTGACCCAGCGTCTGGTCTGCACATCATTGCAGAACTGGGTCCCCCTAAGTAAGCCGGCCAGCACAATGTTTCAAAATGATGAAGCCGCTTTGCCACAACAGGCAAACATCCCAGTTATGAAATGCTCTTGTCAGACAGGTAATAAGGTATTATGTTGTTTTTGAAAAGCTGTGCATCCTTGATGTGCTAAGTCTCATTTGTCCTGCTGATCTTTCTGATTTGTGTTTGGTAATAGCATCCTTTAAGACCATCTGAGGCCACAGTAAAATCCACGAGGAAAATGTCAGGTACCAATAAAAGCCGCTTCGCATGCTTCCTTGTCAGTCCAGTGGGACAGTTTTTTGTGTGCCAGTGTCTGTAACATGGCAGCATTGCAGTATGACTTCTGTTATTTAATGGAAGCAAATGCATCTGGATAAGGCTCTCATCTGGCAGTGTTCCGTACCTACAAAAGGAGTAAATCAGGGTTTTGAGATTTTATCCTGCTGTTGTTTCTAAGCTAGTTTTTGCACAGATACATACTTCCATCTTCTCCTAGACTTTTCTCGAAGTTACTTTACTGCTACTTTTAAATCTCTGGTTATCAAGATCATGCCAATGTACGTGCTTTCTCTGGTACGTTCAGATTATCTGTGGAGTTACTGGTGTACAAACAGGTTTCGGTTTTGCTTGTGAATTAAGTATGCAAAAATTAAGTTGGCTGCCTGTATTTTTAAACCCAAATTAGGTCCATGCAAATGCAGAAGCCCTTGCATAGGGCCAGAGCGTGCTGGATGTCTGTACAGTGCTGGGACGGAGCAAGTAATCCTAGCCAGACCAGTCTGACAACTAGAGAGCTACTGAGCATCTGTGCATCGCCCTTTGGAAGGCTTTATATTCCAAGAGCTTTGTCAGCTTGTGTGCGGTATGGCACGAATGCACAGACCAAGTCTTAATCTAATGCTGAATATGAGTCACTAAGCCCTTTCGGAAAACATGCAACTAGCAGCACATCATGAGGCTGTAACATTTGCAAAACCCGCAGGCTTTTCCTCCCCATAAATTAGCCAAGAAGTGTCTGCATTTCAATGCTGAGTTTAAGTCCAGCATGTGGACTCACCTTTCCAGGTGGAGGCTGGGATATATTTACTAGAAAACAAAAATCAAGTTTCAAAAAAAAACCACAAAAAATTTCCATAAAAGAAAACACAGAAGAAACAAGAATGTAGTTTTTTTCACTCTGAGTAAATGGAGAAGTTCAGCTGCTCACAGTACCTTGCTGAAGGACTGCAAATGCTGTGTTTTGTCTTTTGAGATTGGCTGGCTTTAGGAGGGCGCAGGGGTTGCCAAACCATTCAGGAGTGACAGTTATTAGAAATCATTTTGTTCGTCATGAGGTTAAGGCACTTAATTGCAATGTACTGACCAAACATTGCTATGGGAAACTATACCTTGTCTGTATTCAACAGCTTGCTGCTTTAATGATCATCAGCTGCTTCAACTGATCTCCCTGCTGCAAATACTTTTTCTTCATCAGTAACTGTGACTTTGACCACCTTATTGTCCCCCTCTCCTAGAAATGTCTCTGCTTGCTTTGACTACATGCATAAATGCTCTTCCCTGTCTAACCTGTAGTGCTAAAATTCAGCTTTTTCATGGGAGTAACGCCAGCTGATTTTAACCAGATTCAGGGAGGAGACGACCATAGATAAAAAGCATATAAGCAAAGAGTTTCTTACCTGGAATTTTGGGAAACATGTAAAACAACCTCACAAAAGAAATACTATGTTGGGAATATATTCCTGAATTTATTTGGGATAAAAGTCTATTAGAAATGTTTGGAAAGTCTCAGCATAAATGACACACAATTTTCATGCTTTTTTTCTGATATTAAAAACTAGTTTCAATTTTTCAGCTAAGGCAAAAAAAAATTTTTGCCAAATTTTGTGCTTGAGCATTTCAACATCTACCCTCTTCCTTCTTATTGTTAGTTTCCTGTCAGGTAAGAAGAAGAGTATGAAGATCATTACATGTCAGCCCAATCTACTGCTTGATAACGTAGACTGAATTGGGCTCTGACTCCTCATGTGATGCTCTCCCACTCTGCCACCTTGTTCCTCAGGGGAAGTACAAAGCTATATACCAAATAAATGTATCCAAAAGGGAGATTCTGCCTTTAAAACAACTATTGAACTTGACTGCTCATGACTCTTCATGCATTTCCTGAGATGTGTCTTTAGCATTAACCAATACTTACGGCTTTTTGCTATCCACCCTTACTTTGCTTGTCTTCTCTGTCAACTGCAAATACAGATACCTGGAAACATCTCGGTTCTGTTATCATGTAAGAAAACAAAGCTGTGGTATGTTTCGTTTTGCTTTAATGTATATTTTTCTTATCTAACACAAAACCTCACAAACAGTTCAGATGATGATGCTATTTTTGAGAAGCTGAGTATTCGAACATGATAGAGGGCCATAGAAGTGCTGGATCATCTTAGCCTGGCATCTGCTTTCCAACATAAGATGTCCCACTGTAAAGTCTCAACTCCCAGATGTAGTTCCTGCGCTGCAAGTGCTGGCAGAGGTGTCAGCCTGAAGAGCTTTCCTGAGCACGACGGCAGGCAGGCCCTGAACGCTGCTGCTGTACAAAGGCAACAAGGCTGGTAGGCGCCATCCCAGCACTGACAGACCGAACCAAGGCAACCGGCAGGCAAAGGTGGATCCAGTCACTATACCGGGCACTTCTGTGGTCAGTGCAGGGTATGTGCAGACTGCCTGTGGCCTGAAGACCACCTTTACCAGGCAGGAGGCAAGCAGCACGTCTTCTGGACTAGGACGTGTGAAAGAACACAACCTTTATCACTTGGTGCAGAGTGACAAGCTGGGGAGGACAAAGACAGAACTTGCACGATGATTCCAGTTGCATATTGTCCTTAAGCAGTATCCACGTTGAAATAGTATGTTTTAAGTGCAACCCTTCAGCTCAGGAATCAAACAGGCTAAAGATTCCATGTTAATTAGTAATCTCTGGACTCATACAGATCTATAATAACTACCTACAGATCAAAGACATTTAATGTTTAGCATATTTTAATATCAAGATAGAATTAACATTTTAAGTTCTGTAATTAAAATCTTGATATTAGTATTTGGAAGAGGTCAGTCTATTCTTCTGTTTATCTGACCGAATACAGCCAATTTTTGTATGATGTTTCACATGCAGGGGTACAATCAAGGTTTTGGTACCAGCCACCCAGGATATAAAAGTTGCTGTAGATTTTGTAGGTCACTGTAGGATTATCCCAGCTGGATGAATAGGACTCAGAAGGCCCACTGCATATACGTTTCTACTCATGATCATTCCCACATATACGCACTGAAGAAAATGATGTAAAAAGAAGAAAACTAGAAATGTTGGAATACCAACCTTATCTTCAGTCATTGCTGGCATTGCTTCTTGTTGTTAAGCAAGTTACTACTTTGATTGTGCCAAAACCTTATATAGAGAAGTAAAAATAGTGAAAATATCCCTTAAAATGTTTCCATTTGCAGGTCTCAGTCCTTGAACCAAAGTAACCACGTACTTGAAGATCCCTTTGTTCTTGATTTCTTTTCTGAAGCTTCCAGCCTTCCCAGAAATCATAAGTTGGGAATGTTAAAAGTGAAAAAATAATTTGAATTTATCTATTTATATCACATTTATATCCATTTATATTACAACAACCAAGGCAAATTCTTCAGATTTATTTAATAAAAACAATGATGATTTATACTGCTCCCAGAGTTACCTCTCCAACCTACTGCTATGGCTTTCAGTGTTAATGAAGGCTGGGCTGTGTGCCTCTCTTCCAGAAAGTGCAAAGCTTATTTTCTTGCATAAAACTTTGAACACTGGGCAGAGGCCATTATAAAAAACAGTAGGGCGGCTAAAGCAGTTTATAAAATCAGTGATTTGGAAAAAAATTGTCTTGATTAATCTCTAAAGGCTTTATTTGTTACAATGGTAGTTAATTGTTATGATGCTGAGATACGGTTTAAATGTAGCCAGGCATTATACGCTGCATTGTGCGAACTCTTCTCAGCCACGTTTGTTTTGAGCAATGGTTTTAATGTAAACCAGATCCAAGATATTTCTGGCTAGGTCTCCTCACATTTCTCTTTTATCTTTGTCTAGCATCTCCAATTGCATGAACAATCTTCCCTCAGGTTGTTGTTACTGGTGTCCTTTATAAATTTTCATTACATATGCTGCCTGTAATAGCTCCTAACTATATAATAATCCTTTGGATTATAACAGGCAGTGTTCTACATTATTTCTCAGAGATGAGTTAACTCTCTTCTTTCTTCTGTGGTTTACAATATTGGTAAATACAGGCATTCATGAATGTAATTTGGTACCATCCTGCTGCTACGTACAGAGATCACAAATGTGGACGTGTAGTCCAGAACAAAGAAATATGATCAGCAAGTTGTGTTACTATTTTTCTGAACGATCAGCCCCTGGATTGCCTTCGAACACGGTGTATGCCCACCTGCCTTCAACCTTTGCATTGGCCTGTGCAGGGAGTATTCAGGCTATTGCACAGCAAAACAAAGAGTTTGGTTTTAAAAGCAGCCTCAGAGATGCCCTCTGCAGTTATCATAGAACCACAGCTCTGGTCCACTGTGGCAGTCTGGACTTAAACCCATTTTTCTGTGTGCTCCTTGACTAAATCTTCAAAAAACACTATAGACAAATGTTCTGGCTTCATGAATGGAGTTGATGGGATAGCATTTTACCCGTGAACTCCAAGAAGCAAGGTATTGTAGGGGACTGCTATGGTCTTAATCCTAGATGAAATGTGAAATTACCAGAATACATCATCTGGCAAGGACTGAATAGTCCCAGTATCAAAAAGAGAATCTCATGGAAAAAAAAAGAAGAATGCTCTATCAAATTCCACGCAGGGCAGCACGAGGGCTGTCTGCAATTTAGATGGGAAAAAAGTATTCTCCAGCTTTGACTACTCCAATTGTAACCCCCTCCAAACTCTGCTTCCATTTTGTCCCTTGGGAGATGAGCGAGAGATTTTCAGTTCACTCGTGATACTGCACATGAGGGAAGGCCCTAGATTCCATATACTACTTTCCCTTCCTTCCTGTCCTCTTCCCCCACCCCAAATACCCTTTAAAACCACTCTTCTTCTGGTTCAAACAACAAGGCTAAGCAGGTGAAATTTTAAATAATGATTGAGGATTTTTTTTATTCATTTAAGTTTCAATATCATTACAGAAAATGTTATGGTACAGAGTTGTTTAACATTAGTTTTATTTCTTTGCTCATTTAATTTCCACACGAATGCTGGTAACACTAATATCTGTACAAGATCAGTCTTTGATTTTTTTTAGTTTTTAGTTCTGTACATTTTTAAATGTATTGGTTAAAAAGGCTGTCAGCACTTAAGGAAGCAATTTTTTTGTTTGTTGAAATAAAAGGTATCCAGTTACTGCCCAAGAGTACTGAGCTGGGTGGCTGCCGGGACAAGAGAGATCCCTGAATGCGCAGCGAGGTGCGAAAACCTCGGGGCTTCATTGGGTTCCCAGTGCAGCCACTCTGCTTTTGGCACTGTGCACATCAACACGAGATACAAGATAAAGAACAAGCAGAAGCTCTCTGTGAAGCGGTTATGAAGCATACTAATAAGGGAAATCCAAGTGTTGTCTACGCTAGTATAAATAAGCAGACAGCCTTGTTTTAAGAGCATAAGTAGTTGTATCTTAAAGATGAGAAAAAACACAAGTTCTGCAGGCACCTACTGCTGTCTACTAAAAGCTACCGCTATTAGAACTAGCATTGAACACACAAAGCAATTGCAAGGAAAGGAAAAAGTTGCTTTGATATAATCAGAATAAATTTCTTTGTTAAGATTTGTTTTAAAGTTTTTTTTAAAAGGTATTTATTTAAATTCCATTTGAAATATAGTTCAAGATGTTGACTACACTGATCAACTTTTATCCAAATCAGAAAAACTAGCTGTGCCGTTGCATATTACAGGATACAGTCAATGATATGTGGACATGCATCAAAGCTTCGCTCTTGCTGGTGACATCATAGCCTTCCAATGACCATGACATCCACCACCTCCCCCTTGTGAAGCTCCACATACTGCTCTGTCTTTGGAGGTAGCATCAACAGTCCATTGGCACTGCGCATACTCATCAGACGACTGCTCATCTGATTCCCTGCGGGACAGCGGGAGAAAAATTTCAGTTACGTTTTCAACTAGTTTCAAATACTGCAACACACCACGCGGACAAGAGCTGTTCTTACAAAGATGTTCATGTTGCTAACTTATTCATGGAGCTGGGATCTCGCTCTTCCAAGGTGGGTGGGAACAGCAAACTCTCAGAGAATTAGTCAGCCTCTCATCACTCTGGCTCTCAAAACTCTCATTCTCTCTGTTGATTGGTTTTCTAACCAGCCTTCCACATTACCTGTACCTCATATCTTGTCATAGTAAATTGCTTTTCTGTTGAATTTCTAATCCTATAAAAATTACTTTATTTTTCAATTTGTATACCTCATTCCGATTGTACAAAGACTAAAACCAGCACAGTCTAGAATGTTTTTAATACACTGCTATAGAATAAGTTTGACTACTGTATTCTTCTCTCTGAATAGTCTCCTTCAGCTTTAGTAGCTTAGCACCAGTAGCTAAAGTAGTTGAAGCCTTAGGCTGCAAAAGCTGATAGAGAGTAAACTTTTTGATAAAACTAATGCTGCTAACACAGAACTAGCTGAATCTGGCAGATGCAAGCAGAATGAAGTAGATAAGGACCAGGAAACAATTCCAAGAGAATGAGGTAACTTCAGAAGAAGGCCAGCCCAGTGACAAAGAAAACCAATGAGAAATCAAGAGACCACCGACCAGAATTAAGTAATTGGACTTGGGCATTGGGTGCTGGGTGGTACAGGTATAATTGAGATCTGGGGTGGGGGTCCCCCTCCAGTGGCACCCAGCTCAAGCTGGAACCTAAGAACTAATAAAAGAGGAATTGGAAACCTTCACTTAGACTTCACATTTTTCAGCGAGATCCTGGGGTCGGACCCTGTTATGGTGGCCAGCTGCGTAAATCCATAACATATACCACCTCAAAAGACTGGGTTTCCTTGGGACACTGAGTTTTATAACATGTCCTGAAGATAAACAGTATCATATTGGTAGTACTAACAAAAAATGAAAACGCAATAAAAAGTCATGCCCTTTAGTTTCTTGGTTTTCAAACTTCCAGATTGACAGAGCAATCATTCCAGACAGTCTGCCTGCATAAGGAAAGAAGTGGTGCACAACAAAACACAGTTAAACCAAATACAGCGTTACAGATGTAAGTAATACCTTGACTTACACCTGGAAATATGTCAGAGGCTGTGTGATCTTGGGAGTCAATGGTAAGAACTTTCTCTGAGTAAACAGTAAGATGCATTTAAGCTAATGTTTTCCCTGTGGAAACTTGTATATTGTGCTTTGTATTGATCAATCTGGATGTAGCAAAAAGACAATTAGTTGTTTAAGGACCTGAATCTCCTGAGAAACTGCCAGAGTCGGTCTTCTAGCAGTATACAGCTAAAAAAGTATTCAAATACAGTATTTACCTCAACTCCAGCTGAGTATCCAGAGGAGGATCCCTAGGTGGCGAACACGACTAATAAAAGTCGTAGTCTGCTTTAAAAGAACATACACAGCCTCTCCTATCTCTTGTACTTTTCCAGTTCAGCTAGACTCACTTCTGTTATTTGTATTGTTCCTACCTGTGCCCCAACTTTTGTTTGTTTAGGACATGCACAAGAGCAAAAGTAAGCAAATGTGCCTGTGAGTGCAAGCAAGCACCGGTGGATGTTTATAAAAAGGAATGTGTGCACATATGCAAGCCTACAGGTGTATTTTGTGTGTGTGTATGTGTATAAAGGCAGGTTATTCAGATAAAGGAAGTTTTAATGGTTAAGTTAGTAAGTCGTATCATGACTGAATTTTACACTAATGTACATGTATGCATGTGCACAAGTATGTCAGCAAACCAGTCTGCATAAGGAAAGTTATATGAAAAAATATGTGCACACACTTGGTTGTTTTTAGACATGTATGTAGGAAGGCAAGGACCGGTGTGAGTATGTCTGTCAGTCTGTGCGACTGGGCACTAACCTGTACTCTGTGCCCAAGGTAGTGGTTCTTGGTGATGCCAAGTCAATATGCACCGATGATATTCTGGGCGAGGGTCCAATTTTACATCACACGATAACTATAGAAGAAGCAAAGAAATTATGAAAATGTCATGCATTCAGATTGCACTGTCTAAGATAACGGAATCATCTGCTCAATTGTTTTCCTTAAAAACAGACTTTATAAAACTTGCATTTTGAGGTCAGATGGTCTCTAGTGCAAGATCAAAAGCTGTAGAAAGTACAGACTGCAGTATTTAAGGGACATATAACTGTGATATTATAATATCAAAGTGCGTGATGGAGTCTACATGCATTAAATGGAATATTGCAAAGCTGTTGCTTTACTGGGAGTTTAAAGATCCTATTTCTCTGGAAAGAAGCTTTATCGTTTCTGGTCTCTGGATTACACTGCATAAAGATAAAAATTTTATTCACATTCAAAATCCTCCTAGGCCTGACAAAAGGGAAATGGCCAATCTTTGAAATGAAAAGACATATGGGGATGGCTTGCAATGGAATTTAATGGAACACGTTCGAAAATTCATGCAAAAGTGAGGGTCACTACCAATTGCTCTCTGTTTTAGAATATTTTAGCTGTGAAATAAAGAAAAATCTGGATGCCTGAGGAAGTGCAAAAGAGAGACAAGGGATAAGCAGTAAGAGAAAAGTACATTACCAAGAACACTAGGAAAACTATAAAAGGTTAATGTGTTCCTTGGTGCTTTATTTGAATCAAAAATAGAAGGATAATGCATTATAATAACATGCCTCGAATCTGTATTAAACAGAGTTACAATATCCATAATTTCTTATAAGAGCGCAATGAATAGTTTAAGGGATTTATATTGCTTAGAGTGGGGGTCATGTGGGTTACTTATATAAATAACTCAAGAACAGAAAAGCTTTTAAGTTTGTATTTTCTATTGCTAATACAGAACTTCCCCACTCTTCGGGTATTCCCAGATTACTCTGCATTTTTTACCACAGGTTAAAACAAGTTTTTTTTTAAAACACAAAAGCATCCTTCCTGCCTGATTGGCAAATGGCTGCCTCTGCATCTCCATATCTTGCTCCATTAGATGGCCATCTAACTCTTAGAAATTATGAGACGGAATATTACCATTAACAAGAGATTGAGAATGTACCTCTCTTTTGTATGTACTTCCTTCAACTTGCCAGAATTAGTCTAGGGCTCAGATTCCCCAAACAAGACAGCCTTTCAGAGCCCAAAGGGCTGTGCTTCAACATCATGAGAGAATTTTTAAATAGAGCACAAGCTTCTTACCCTGGCTTTGATGATGGTGGGCCGAGGATCCAGGATACCCTGCATTTTCCTCAGTGCAGGAACAACAAAGAGATTGCAGGTGACAACAGCTGACACAGGGTTGCCTGTAGGACAAAGAACAGTTGGTGTTGACTCCCTCTTGATTTACTCTGTGAAATGCTGAAAGCGATCTCATGTTTTTACAGCAATTGCACTCTAAAGGACTGTAAAGAGATTTTTGAGCTATGTACAGGAAACATTTCATCCAAGACTGGAGTGGCATGTGGCAAGTACACCTGTTGAAAGCTACACTCTCTGGCTGATGGTGTGCTGAAATCCTGCTCTGAACAAAACTGTCAGAGAACTGTCCCATGTTCCTCAGGCCCAACTATTTGCCTTTGGTTCCTCTGTCGCCTTTTGTGTTATGCCTAGATTTGTCTGGGGCCAGGGCAGGGTTTCTTGTGCACAGGTATAGGTCCTAGCTGATAGGGCTCTTGATTCATGATTAAGGTTTTCAAGACCGATGGAAAAATAACTTTCAATTCCCTAACAGAGTGGTAAATGCTTTAGTACACATTCTGAGGAGAATTCTACTGATTTATACATTTTCTGTTGACTCACAAGAGAGGTGTATGACCAACATCTGTCAAACACCACTTGTCTTACACATCTGGACTTCCCTAGATGACACTTCTAAAATATATACTACGATCAGATAGATGCTCCATTGATCTCTCCCCTGGAAGAAAATGTACTGCAGCAACTAAAACAAGAGAGAGAAAATGCACTAGAGATACATCTGAAAGCCACCAGCTTAGCAAGAACAGGATTCCTTGTGTAGTCAGAAATTCATGCAAAGCCAGAGCAGTAAGAATAAAATAAATTCCTCCTGATTTAGGAGGATAGAGATCTGTAGTCAGATCCCTAGTTTATCCTGAATGTGGTGGTTTCCCAAGGCGCTGCAGCACACAGAAGGTGAAGTGATGCTGCCCTCTTTTGGTTCCACGGTACGATCATGATTGATTTAAAAAACCTATTCTGTGACATGTTCCTGGGCACTTCCTCGTTTTTGTCTCCATTTTCAGTACTTCAGAGTGGATGCACTGATTTACATGCACAAAATATTTACTGTGAAGGTGGAGGGAGCTGTAGGAAAAAACCACCCCTGTATAGTACGACTTACAAAACTCAAGGAAATTGTTGGATGGAAGAAATCATAAGGCCTGTACACCGGCAAATTCTGAGAACAGGAACAAGAAAGAAGTCCTTAGTAATCCCTGTAAGTCCATCTCTTCTGGAAATTTCTGTGAAAATCTTACTGGTCCTTATGTAGGGATGCCAACACCAGACATAGGTGCTGTGAAACATCACTATCCTGTTTCATGTCTGTCATGTACACACAGCGACAAAAGTAATCCACAAAACATCTTACCTGGGAGCGCAAAGATTATTTTTCTTACGCCATCAATATCCAGAGTTGCAAAAGTTGTTGGCAGGCTATGGGAAAGGAAAGCTATTTAATATCTGCCCTAGACTTTGACTGAACATTATTATGTTATTATTTAAAACATTTGGAAAGGAAAACAAAACAGGATCTCTCTCTCTCTCTTAGGAGTTCATTAGCCCCTGCTGCGTATTCCATACTGGGGGTATAATCCTCTGTTTGTGATGACAGAACAATTAGTTTTTCTTGGTATGCAGCTACGAAGTTTTGCTTCTGGTGAGGAAACATCTAAGAGCAGATGAACTAGTAATCAAAAATCTAAATCCCGTCTTCATGCTAGAAGCCTATTAATGAAGAAGTAATACTGAAACGATGCAGTTATAGAGCTGTATTTTTTCTTTCATATAAGGCTCTTCAGATTTTTTTGTAACATCAGTGACTCTAATTTCCCTTACTCCGTTGTCTACAGCAGTAGTGACAATGGAGCACTATGTCAGAGCAGCAAATGCTAGCTAGTCTGCTGATGAACAGATTCAGATACACAGGCAGAGCTGCAGTCAGGTAAGACCTAGGTCTATCAGTAAAGAGCTCGCTCTGCCTTTCAGAGCAGCTCCTGAGTGATCTTTAGAAACTTGTTATCAGGGCTATTACAGTTATACAAATAGGACAGTAATGTGATGGCTCAAGAATGTGGCTGGCAAAGAAAAGGGACTCATCCATTAAAAAAAGGTTTCTATATACCTATGTTAATATTGTCCTTTTAAACATTAGAAATGATACTTTATAGGAGCAATAATTAGGCTGAGTTCCATGGCTTCATCTTGAGCTAACAACTGTCACCTGGTCAGCAGATGACAGTTGCTGACAAGCTGCAACTTTGGAGATTTGCCACACTTTGATCATTACTACCTAGTTTTGTATTTGCTAGGACTAATCAATATCCAATTTTACCAGGGGAAATTGGTGTTTTACGTTTCTGTTTTAAAATGTCTCTAACATAATAGGAACTATGTGCCAGACCTCCAAATCTTATAACCAGTGCACAAACTGAGGTACAAAAAATCTAACTGCTAACTCGTATTTACTGGAAACTCTGAATTCTCATATGAGATTTCAATGCCATCACTGGTAAAGTCTTTGAGTACTTTCTTCTGGCAGTGCTGCTAGACAAGATACAACCTTACATTAGCTCAGTAACTTTCAGATTAAGTGGAGGAACAGTAAAGCCCAGGCATCACTGGGCTTTACACAGTCATGTAGCACATCAAAATACAGGCATACAAAGCAAATTCTGGCTTTGTTCTTGGAACTTACTAAAGGGAAGTTTTCCCAATATAGTAATCACAATTCATATCTAAGGCCTTTTAAGACAGAATAAATAAAAACTAAGCCACAGTATTCGCTACTGCAGTACAGCCAATGAAAATGAGAGTGCTTACGTTCTTAGTAAGATTAGATGATAGAATGTTTTGGTAGCAGTTAGAGATATTTTCCTTATGGCATAAAATGAAAATGGATGTTTGGGGAAAATAAGATTTCTTCAAGCTTTTCTGGCAAGTTATTAAAAGTTTATTGCTACAAGTCTACAGAGGGGGTCACCAGAATAAAGATTTATGTTCACTTTCAGATAAGCCAGAAGCAGAATTTAATATTCTGAATTGTCTAAATCAGGTTATCAATACTTGTCAGCAGCAGACGCTGGAGTGCATATCCCACTTTTGGGACTTCCCCACATCAGTTGTAGCAGTATGACAGAGGCAGTGAGCAATTTCCATGCCCGGGCTACATCCAGCATAGGAAGAAAGATGCTTTCAGCTCACTTGTTCCTTTTATGGAAGGGAGGCGGTGGTAGTAGCAGCACAAGCACCAAACCCACATGCAGTTCTTTACTGGACTGTATGCAGAGACAGTAAAAGTATTTGTCTGTTTTCACAGCAAACACTCGCTTTCTGTTCTGCTCCCTTGCAACAGTTATGGACTAGAGGGATTCATTCCTCAAAACTCCACTTGGCCTTGTGTTACTGGCCTGTGCCAACCTAGCTTGCAAACAAACTGCACTCCACGGTCAGTGAGGCAGAACTGTAGACGTCTTTCCAGTACTGTACTGTGAAAGGGAACTCTCCATTTTCAATCCATGTCGTTTTCATTTTCTCTACAAAGCACACGTCCAGACTCATTAATTAGCAGTGCTACAGCAAAGGAAAGCAATGCTGAAACAGTCTTCTGAGGCAAACTAAACACATAATGGACTGTGTTTACTTTAAAATTACTATGCTCAATATGCCAATTAGATAAAACTTTGTAAATTAGCTGTCATTCCACCTCTCTCAAGAAATTGCTTGTTTGTAGGAATATGACTTCTGTAAATTTTGAAGTGAAATGAAGTGCTCGTTAAGCAAACCAGCAGTTAAATGTCCTTATATTTCCTGGTTATTTCGTAACAATGTCACTATCTAAGCTGTGTGATCACAGTGAAAACTGGCCATGTTTACATCGTGGTGGCTTGCCCCCAGTCCCCAAGACTGATTTACAACAGTTACTAGAGAAATATCTCTTCCTGATAAAAAGCAATCTCTCTGTTCCAGTTCATTTCATCCATAAAGATGATGACTAATCTGAATAGGACCGATTTTGCTTCTTTCCCCATATATATCTACCATGTGGTTTAGAGTATATTTGGAAAACTGAAATCTACTGAAGCACTTATATAGGGTATTTGGTCCAAAATAGCCCCCATCTATGCTGTCTAAGTAGAAAGATTTCTTACCCTGGTTTCATAAAAACTCTGCCAAAGTGAATCTGTGCGTGAAGATCAATATCCAGCACCTGTTTAAGATAGTCCTGTTTAAATTCAAAAAAGAAAATAGATTAAGTAACATCAAAGTGGCTTACATCGTCTAAGCATTCAAAGCAATTAATTAATGTCAAGTGAAGATGAAAGACTTTTCATATCCTGAATGTGCTACAGTCTGGTGGGGAATTTCCAGTATTTGCAAGAAAGTATTTTCAAAAAGAAGAGGTGAAGAACAGACTCATTTTAGGTGCCAAACCTGACTCCATGAGGACATAGCAATATATTTACTTAAAAGTCAGCTGCAGCATCAGAATCTTAGAGGACCCCACAAATACCTACTACTAAAACATTGTCAAAGATGGAAAAAAGCCTTTATGGTTCAAAGTTAAGATTAAAATCATCAAGTTATTTAAATCTTGCCATGGAAGCTATCTAGCAGTAGAGATACAGATCTCCTAATACTTTTGAAATCAATACTGTACTGTAGAAATCATAGTTTTCCAGGATACTGTAATTATTGTAATTTCTTGGGGACATGGTCTAATTTGCAGTGGTTGGGTTTAACGGTCCTTAGGAAGGAAAAACTGTGGGTGGCTTATGCGTTGCTTCAAGTTAAATGATTTTGCGTAAACACAATCAATTCGGTTATTAAAACAAATTGAATTACTTGTTTAGTCTTTATTAAAAATTGCTGTGCTCAAAGATGTAGTACCCTGTCTGTTGTGTTTAGTGAGACTAAAGACACAGGACATAACAGTCATCTGTGACGACAGACTTTGGAAGCAGTAAATCTGAAGCTCCCTTACAGTTTTCTCATCTTTCTCTTTTTTTTTTTTTTTTTTGGGGTGGTGTGGGGTGGGGGGTGTGTGTGTTCAAATACTTGGAAAGCAGCAACTTTTTTTCAGCCAGGCATGAATTCTTAATCATTGATTGCGTTAACCCCATTTTTATTTTCTATTTTCTATTTACTTTTTAGATGTTCACAGTTATTTTATTAAAACTGTTAAAAGCTCAGTATCAGAGGGCTAACCATCCGTGGAATATAGAGCCTATTGACTTTATGCTCTTGCCTCAAATTCAGACTGGGGAGAAATTAGCCAGAAGGCATAAATGCCTGTAAGACCATTCAGCAGTCCAGTCACTTCCTAGTGTTCCTGTGTCTGCACTATGTTGCCACGTTCCCAATTTAAAGACCAGTGCTTGTCCTTGATTATTCTTCTACGAATACTGAGGACAATAGTGTGATTGAAAGTAATTGGCACTAGTTCAACTAGTTATCCATTTTCATGATGTATCCGACAATATGATTTCTACTCAGAAAAGTGACAAAAACAGCACTCATGTTTGCCATCTCCTAATGACTGTCTTTAGTATCTGTTAGTTATAAAAGGAGAGATGTTTCTTTTACCTGCCAAACTCACAGATTCAGCCTGGGATCAAAAAGTAATCTGAGTTTTCCTTCGCATAAGTCATGATTAATAAATGTCCTGCAGGTTCATCTACGCCCCACCAGCATCTCTGTATCCCTATTTTCTTTGATGGTTTTGGCACAGGGATTACCAACAGGAACTCAATCAACAATTCTGTTAATGATTCAAAAGGCAAATATATCAGCTCACCGTGTCTCGTATGTATTGCCTCTGTAGGACTATCAGGCGCAAAATGTGATAAAACCATTTTTGTAACAGATACAGCTTTGGCATATTCAGGAAATAGATTTGCTGAGTAAGAAAGAGCTATTTATATACTCAGGTTGCTTTTTGAAGTACTTTCAAAGTAGCTTTATTCTATCTACATTTTACCTGCTCTAAGAATAAAAAGAAGTTTGTTGCCTTTAAGTGCTATTAACCAAGCACCTTCCTCATCATGACTACATAAATCATTCTTTAAATAAAAACACATTTGCAAATCACTCACATCAGGAATTAAAATCTTCCTTGTTGAACTATGCCTACTATAGTACAGAAATAAGAACAAAGGGAACAAGGACAGCATTGAAGGCTATTTTCTTAATTAATTCACATTTAAGTATTCAAAAAAAAGTAAGATCCCTTTTTAATAAACATTAATACAAAGGTAGAAGCTCTGATGGCAGATTCTGGCTTGAAATTCTTACATACATTGTAGCAAGTCATACTTAAATTTAGCATACCTTTTCCCCCATAGATACACCTCCTGATGTAATGATCACATCAGCACGGCTGATACCCTCATTCAGTGCATTCAGTAAATCATCTGGGCTACAGAAAAGAACAGGCAAGCAGATTAGTGGCACGGAGCTATTATGAGTTGTAGTGCAAGTGTCTGTATGCACACATACAGATGTATATACACACACGTATTTTAAGAAAGAGGTACAGCTCTGGTGTAATAGAACATTTTTTCCTTCTTAAGGCTCCACACTGCTCTATTCAAGTCAAGAACTGCAATCTCATTAAGTGAACATGACACTGTTTGGCACCTTTCTGTCTAAGAGCTTTGCAACAGGAAAGTGGGATACTTTAGGTTGGGACTGAAGAATGCTAACCCAAGTGTCTAAAAGTGCGTAATTTGCACAGTAGGTAGCAATACAAATTATGATTTAGATGAACTGACAGGGCTATATAAAGGGACCTGACACATGAAAATTACTGGCCACCAAGCAGGCTGCAGTACTACCTGTCTAGCTTATTTGAAGTGCGCAAAAATGGGCATAAGTCTCTACTTCAGACTTCCATCAGTGAAAAGAGGGAGTAAATCCTTTGTTTATCCGTATCCGTTAAAGGGCTCTGCAGCAAAGCCACTTCATCTTGAAAAAACCACAATCCATCCTGTTCAAGTGTCTATTTACCTTCACAAGAAACAGTGTAAGGGGAGCTGTGATGTTCCTCCATACAAAGAGTGTAACTGCGAAGGTGAAGGATAGAGGCTGAGTATATTTCAGTTTTGATGTCTTAACCTTTTTTTTTTTTTTTTTTTAGATCTAAATTGGAAACTTTGAAGTGGGCATTAGCTATCTAATAGCAGTACTGATGCTAACACAGAGCTTCAAGGCATGCAGTGGAGAAACTCGGTAATACAACTTACACAAGACCAAAGGAATCCAAAAGAATTTCCAATGTATTAAAGGCATACTTTGCATTTTTTAACATTTGTGAACTGACCAGAAACTGATCGATTGCTATGACAGTATGTAATGTTCCTTCAGCACTATCTTTTTACTTTAACGATCCTGAAAGTTTTTCCTTCTTAGAATGCAATTGAATGAATGGGCAATAATGCTAGTGACTGTAAAAAGGACTTCACCTGGAATACAGCACCTCAGTTAAATGCCACACTACAATTACAAAATGCCATTATGGGTTATCAAGACTTTGCAGGCTGCAAACGGCATGTGGGCTGTCTTTCAGGAACTTTGGCTGTATTTCACTAAAGGATAGAATCACTGCAGTTATTTTGGGGCCTGAACTGGAAACAAGAAAATTAGAAATACTATGCAAGTCCTGGTTGACCTTTCAGAGACTAACAGAAACTGTATGTTTCAAAAGGTCTCAGAAAGAAAAAATCCTTTCCTCTGAGCATCCCGTTTTTGCCCATGGTTTAGTAATGCAGCAGTTAGCATTATGTGGTGCTGTGTACACCACAATTTATGTGACGCAAGAAAGACTGCACTCCCTCATTGAGTAGCTACCTCAAGTGCGTCCAACCCTGCACACTCCTCATCTCCTCACCAGAGAGCCCTCAAGTGTCCTCTACCTTGGCTATGCCTTACAGGCAGAAAGACTCAAGACCCTTTATCCACCACATCCAGTCTGATGCAGCATCTTCTTTGGCAGCACAGTTTGGTTATCCTGCAAAACTTTCCTATTTCTGTTGGGTTACATCCACTCTTTAGGGTCATATTGCTTTGTAAGAGGTAGGCAACAAACTACAGCAGAAAGAAGGGCAGATCGCTGGTGCCACAGTCTAGGCTGCAATAAATCAGACAGAATTATACGCTACCATTTTTTTAAAGGAAACAGTGGCTGCAGATATTGTGGCATGCCTCCATGACTTTTGCTCAGGGTATTGTGTATCTTGGATACTCTAAATGGCCTATAATGAATGGCTGAACTCTGTTTTCTTTGGGAGAAAATATAAACCATACAGACTCAAGCAAAACCATCTTCTTCTTTGTTCTTTAGGAAAGAGAGACATTTTCTCAGCTGTCCTTTCTGAAATCTCAGGATCATTTTATCCAAAAACCAGCACAAGTCTTCACTAGTTGATGAAGGCAAGAGGAAAGAAGTAAGTCTGTTGTTGGCTACTGTCAGCGGCTTCTTCAGAACCAATTGTTTCATATTGATTGTCTAAGTAGTAATCTGTATGTAATAAGATATTGCTTAAGATAATTACAGAGTTTGTAATAGGAAAAGTCTCTCAAGATCTAAGTATTCCTTAATCCTTGCCAATGAGGGTGCAGATTGAAATGCAGCAAGGAATATGTATTCATTACATAGGTCGATGTAGGCCTTCCTGAAGCTCGATGACAGTCAGACACTCATGCCACTATTAGTAGGCTAAGACTGCTTTCAGTGTATTTTTCTCATTTGGTTGTGATGCAGATGAGGACCTTATCTGGAGCTTGCTTCAGGCGGTTCCATTTTATCTTGCTTAATTATTTAAAAGTTATTCCTAGGTAGCAAGACTACCTGTCTGGGGACCTCCTAAATTCTGGATTATGAAGTGTGCTTGCTTTTGGTTGTGGTTTGAGAATAATGGAAGGAATGGTAACAAGCAAATGAGTCTATATTAAACTGTTGTTAAATAGAACGGAAGTGCTCCTACTTACATACCAAATAAATATATGTGTGTGTATATATAAAGTTACTTAACAAAGGAAGAAAAACCCCAAATCCAAAGTAAGCCCAAACTCAGACCAGGTGAGGACTCAATTCACACCTTTGTTTATGAGGGTAGCATACCACTGGAGTAGTTCATCATACAGTTTGTTTATTACATGCCATGTAAAAAGTTGAATATTACTGGACTTTGTGCATTTTTTCAGCATTTCCAGTAGAACAACCTGTATAATATATCCCTTTCTTTACCATCTGTATAACGGAAGACATTTAAAAACTCTACCACTAAAACTTTATCCAACCAATAGCACTGCATATCATGTTTAGATAGTTGCAAAATGCATTGAATTCCTCCAAAATGAAAGATGTGATAGAAATTTTATTCTAATAAAATGAATGATTATGCTAGTTTGGTTTTTATTCCGAAAAAAGGAGACACTAACAAAATTTCCTCCCTTGCCTTTGCAGAAAGCTTCTCCCTTTTTGCCATATTTGGCACATTTATTTCTGTCACTCAGGTCTATCTAACTTTCTGTCCTACTCGAGGCTGGTAGGTCCATGACTCTGCAATTAACACAAAACACTCCTTACAGGAGTCACCTGCTGTAATCTTCAGTCAACACTGTAGCAAACGTTTTCCTTGCCTTTAGTGGATTTAATTCAGAGAATTATAATTCAAATTGTATATTAACACATATTTGGTATAATCAGATAACAAGATACTACTTTTCATTTCATTTGTTGTGTAACAATGAGCAGCTTCTCCTTTGGATTGACATGGAAAGGGAAAAAATAATTGTAGACTATAACTTCTGAAAGAATAGACAAAATAACTTCGGCATCTGAGCATAACAGGACAAGATTGTTCTAAAAGGCCTGTGACAAATCACCGTGAGGCTGAGAAATAACACTCACTGTCTGAGCAGGTACAAATCAGAAGCTGTATTCCAAAGCCCCGGCCATTGCTAGGGGCAGGATACTGGATTAGCTAGACTAATGGTCTAATTTACTATGACAAATCCTTTGAAATGTCTTCTGAAAGTGCTATTCGTGGATTTTTTTCCTTCATGGACAGAACTGTAACAGGTGCTCAAATATAATGGTGAATACCTTAATCAATGTAAAGCAGATTTTGATGGGAAGTCTCATTTCCAGGTGGTAAAACTATTCTATTTCATTTGGTGATTTTCAAAGTCAGAGTGACATTGTGCACAAGAAGGGAGTATGCTTTTCTATCACGCTGCAATTGATTAAAAAAAGTATACTGTCTGTATGTTTCAGATCACATCCCAGCATCTTCTATAAATACAACTAAGAAAATTTGTTCTATAAGGATTACATACAGTTTACGAAACTATTCATATAGGTAAGTAAGCACGAATCCAAACTTTCTCTCAACAGCAGAAATCTCCATCTACCGCAGACTGTGTCTGCACAAATATCATGTGTATGGTACATACATTTTTGAAGCTGCAGACATAATGCTTTGCATAAAGAGTCCATGTAGTTTCAAGTATATATTCTCTGCTAATTTTGCCAGTCTGATGAACAGACTATCTATTTTACTACCTCAATTTCCTGACCCTCTTTATTCAGTTTTATGGAACAGAATGACCAGTAAAATATGGAAATTATTTGGAGGGTGTCTGTTGTATAGTGGCAGCAGCATGCACAGAATCCAGTACGCAGATGCATGATGTTGCAGTTGACATGCCACTTGATTTAATTAATTTGAAGAGAGGGCTTGGAGGATGGCAGTATACCAGAAGAGGAACACCTTCTGGATTCATGAAAAAGTCTGATTATCAAAGCTAGTTTGTGGAAACTGTTATGCAGCACTTGATTACTGAGCCGTCTTTGAACTGAAAAGATACACAGGAGCTTAAAAGCTTGAACAAGAAAATGATGCAAGCCTCATTAAAATACACATCAGCCATGTAGAAGATTCTTTCCTTTATCTCTCTCAAAAGAAATAGCTACAGTACAGTCAAGACCAAAGAATTCTCTATTTTAAGTGCCATTTGAAGTGCCCTAAATTACAGTGTAATTTTCTCTTTCAAATAGAAATCAGCATCTGTTAATTCACTTCTGTTGATCCTATTGTTATGCTTCACTGTCATTAATTATAAATCTGTCAGCCTTTTCTGTGATACAACCCTTAACACCAGCAGTTTGATACATGCAATTAAACTGCTCAATTTTATAATTTAATTTAGAAAACTAATAACAACAAATGGTGATCTGCACCACCTACCACTCTACAGTAAAACGAGTGATCCCTGTAAAATTGAACGGGAACATTTAGTTAGGACTGACTTACCAAGCCATTGTAAGTTCAAAATCCGTAGTTCATTACTAATTTCCAGGGCCATTTCCACCAAGTTCTTTGCCACAGTAGTCTCATTCATTCAAATTAACCT